CTGGGGGTGGTGCGGTTGCCCTGGTCGTTGGCGATGATCTCCACTTTGCCGTGCTGGAACACCCCCACACACGAGTAGGTGGTGCCCAGGTCAATACCGATGGCCGTGCTTTTAGCCATGTCGGACCGCTGCTCTCGCCCTGAGCTGAGATTCAGGCCTGGAAACGGCGGGTAGAAGCCGCGACGAGCAGCGCTGTCTCTGCAGAAAGCCGGAATCTGAACGCACCGGAGCCGCAAAAAACGTTCTTCGAAGCCGCAGGTCTGCTGGAGTCTCGCCACGGGAAAAAACAGCAGCACTTCTCACTCTCTCCTCAGGCAGCTATTTCTCCGCTGGCCTTGCGTCTCTGATTTTATAAGTCTCCACCGAGCTCCTCCTTGTCCCTCCTAAGCCAATCACCGCGCTGGGCAGGGCTGCCAGGTCGGGAATATTCCAGGAGCTTCCCCGCGCGTCCTGCCCCTAGGCTTCCTGGGACCAATCAACGTCCAGGAGCCGCCCTTCCCCAGAACGCTCCAGACTTTTCTTGGCTTCACTGGGAGACTCTGGGGGGAAGGAGCAGAGGCGGTGCGTAGGCTGTTGCTGACTCCGCCCACCTCGTATCCGATTCCTTGGCAAAGCTGGCGTCAGCCCCTTAGCCAGTTTGGAATTGATCAGAAAGATCAGCAGTTGGCTTGTAATTGCACGGCAGTGCAAGGCTCGTGGGACTCAAACTAATTTGGTAGTTTAAGGTAGAATTAAGGGCTACATCCCTTCTCCCTCCTCCCCCGCCCTGCCACACACACCCAGAAAACGGAAAGTTCGAGTTTCTAGAAGGAGGCGGGGCACGGGTTGGCAGAGAGACTCTGATTGGACCGTCAGGGTGGGGCGTGAGGCCGCGTTCAGGCGCGGGGGGCCTGACGAGCTGGCTGCCTGAGGAATGTGTCGGTCATTCGCTGAGTTTTTCCCATGTTAGGTTTCAAAGGGAAATTAGAAGGAAAGAGATAATGTAATACATTTTTCTAAACTGTGGTGAAAATTTACATAACAAAACATTCGCAACGTTTTTTACAGTACAATTCAGTGACGTTAAGTTCATCATGTTGTGCGACCATTACCACTATCCGTTTCCAAATTTTTCCATTACCATTAATAGAGACTTACGTCCCCTATGCGATTACTTCCTCTTTCCCCCTCCTGCCCACACCTGCTAACCACTAATAATCTTTGGTCTTCATATAGTTGTCTATTCTAGCTATTTCATAAAAGTGGGATCACATAGTATTTATCCTTTTGTGACTAATTTATTTCACTCAGCGTGCTTTTAAGGTTCACCTGTGTTGTAGCATGTATCAGGAGCAATATAATTTTTTATATCATCTTTAACCTATACAGACGGAAAATGTGGACCTCGAGAGAGTGTGACTTTTCAACTGAAAAGCAAGCAGGTAAATAGGCTATTCTAAAACAGAAGTTTCCATCGTCAGAAGAAGGAACCTGCTGGGTCGGGCGAGAAGGGCAGGGCTGAGTTCTCCACGTCCTGCCCTGCCCTGAGCCGCTCCTCTTTGCCTCGGGCTCAGCTTGGGCTTTGGGAAGAGAAAATTTTTCCACAGGAAGTAGAAAGTCTTGAAGGCCTTTTTGGATTTCTCTTTTTCTCTCACCCTTCCCTCCTTGCTGTCTGCTCCTCAGTCCATGGCTCAGTCCCGGATGGTGGGCAGGGCCAGGGTCCACTTTGGAGTCTCAATTAGATATTCTGCCCTGTCCCTACAGCCCCCCAGGCTGTCCACCACTTTTAGATTAAGTGTTCATTCCTCCTTAAACAGCACACGTGCCACAGTGGGTCGAAAGGTGGCCAGTTTGAGGCATCCGTGTCGGGTGAGGCTGTAAGGCGGGACAGGTTGGAGACTCCATGTTCTAGTTCTCTAAAGTCTCAGGTTATTAGTCGTGAACTTAATTTACGCAGTTAATCTTTTAGCCTAGATTCCACCTTCCAGGGCATTTCCCTCCCTCTTGTTTTAAATACAATTTGGTAATTTCTTTTGGCCTTTCTTCTTCATTCCTTGTGGGAATGTCAGACCCCTTGTTAGGTACCAGAAATGAAAATGTGAGGGGCATTGAAACAATCGTACTGGTTTCACAAAATTATAGACGCATTACTTTACCCACGTCTTGTGCAGAGAAAGCATAAGATCACAAGTTAAGGGGAGGCAGTTTTGGATGGAGGAAATCCTGCCTTTAAACTCTTAGCTCACTTGGCGTTCTTTTACACACACACACACACACACACACACACACACACACACAGAGAGTCCACTATCAAAACATCTCTTCCTGGAATCCAAAGGTATTTAGCTGTTTTATATGTAATTTGCTCAACCTGATCTAAACTGATGTTGCAAAGAAATTGCTTTAACAATCCTGTGTGTTTGTGTGTGCAGCTAGGCAGTAACTGTTTACGTTCAAATGTTGGTCCCTGATAAATCAATTCCTAATCTAGTCAAACTTGTCAACTTTCAGAACTTTTCCGTTTCTCTCTACCCAATCTCTTGCTGGGGATTGCCCAAACTTCCATCCCAGCTGCCTATTGTATCAACACTTCCAGAGGCCCTCAACCTCACACTTTCTCTGGAAGCCCCCTCACCACCACCTGCTACTGGTGGGAGCCCTGCATTCATTCCTCCCTTCCTTCCAAATCTGCAAGTTAGGATACAGGAGTTATTGGCTTGGAGCTAAGGAAGTCACTGTCTCTCCACTGCTGGCAGGTGAAAATGGTGATAGGGACCCAAATCCTGCTGCTGCAGCAGGTAGCCAAAAACTATCCACAAGAAATGCTTTTTCCATGAATCAGACAGTCAGCTACACATTGTGGTCAGAATCTACAGTACTATAGTTGACCAACCTTTTGGGTTAAATCTCCCTTTGTGGACTGGTCTAAACATCATCTATATTCCTTTTCCAATCCTTAATAAGAAGAAAGTCATCTGAATTTTATGTTTCCTTTTAGATTGGATGCTCCCCAAGGCAGAAACCCAGTCACAGGTTTAACTGGTGTCTAAAATGACTATAAGAACCCCAAGATCAGGTACTGGCATCCCTGACAAATACACTAACAAGAAAATCTATCTTCAGATCCCAAGAGGTGCAAGCCATACTGAAGTGGGGATGAGTTCCATTTCATGAAATCCCAATCAACACAAAATGAAATGAGCAGCTTTATTACAGATTGCTGGAAACTACTAGTAAGCAGCTTCTAATGCAAAGATGCAATTTGTAACATAGTAGTCTCTAAGGCCAGAGGCATGACTTTATTATCAAAGATCAGCTGTTGGCCTCTTTTGTAAGAACAATTATAAGAAATTGCAAAACGTGAAAGGCTCTTTTCCATATATGTCTCTCTCTTGGTCAACCCAAATCCCCAGAGGTAACCACTGTTAACAATTTGTTGACTGTTCTTCCAGACTTTCTTATAA